AGAGTCGCGGTTCCAGCTATCACAGTTACTAGGATGGAGTGATACGATGAACCAAGAGCTTCCTTACTAGACGTGAGAAAGGAAGCCCAGCCTGAGCTCTGTGGGCATGCAGACCTGAGATACCCCTGGGCGACTCTGGCCTCAGTTTCCTTGCCAGAACAAAAACAACAACAGAACATCCTAAGAAGCCTATTGTAAAAAGTAAACGGAAATAAAACAAACAAACTCACTGCCATGAGCTCAATTCAGGCCCAGAGTAACCCTACAGGACAGACTAGAACTGCTCCCTGAGGGGTTCTAAGACTGTAAATCTTTAGCCTCATATTTCTCCCAAGGCATAGTGGGTACATTTGAACTGCCGGCTTTGTGATCAGCAGCCCAATTCATAGCCCACTATACCATGAGGGATCCTATCAAATGGGAGTAAAGCACATGTTAAGGATTCAATAAAGGTGGCTCTTATTTCCATTATTCTGTTATCTGACTTATTTTTTCTTTAAACTGAAACCATGTCTACTATGTAGACTTGCCCTGATGTTCTCCGGGTCTTCCTTGTTGCTCTGAACTTCCAATTGGCAGGCATATGAGACCGATTCATGGGAATTTGGGGAAAACGTCTGGGATTTGGTAACTATGATGCTTCCAGCTTTCCAAAGCCTTCTCTTGAGCCCTAAATCTGGAGTCCAGCACACGGGAGAATGCTAGAGAAGACAGGATGGCTTTAGTTAACATCCACACGGGTCAAGTTTGGGACCAAGCCCTAGGAAGGGATAGTTTATCAACTCCTTCAGAAATGCTTGAACCCCACCTGCCCTCTGAACCTCAAAGGACCTGGTGGAATGAGAACCCAGGCCCCCTTAGACCGAATCACAAAGGTTCTAAGGATTAAAGTTATGGGTCTAACTTCGGGAACATATCAAATGTGCGGTTCTTACTGAATCCTGTCCAGATGAGAGTGGCCAGGATAAAATAGATTCAGAAACCATCATCAATAATAGTAATAGTAACATCTTTTTTTTTTGTAGTAAGGTCTTAAAAAAAATACCATTAAATCCCTTCTGACTCATGGTGACCCCATGTATTAGCAAGTCGAGCTGCTCCATCGGGTGAATGCCCTGGGCAGTGCAAATCATTTGCACTTGCCACGGAAGAAAGGCCTGGTGATCTGTGTCGACAATGATTATAGCCAAGAGAATTCTAGGTAGCCATTTTACTCTATAACCTGTGGGCTCACCATGAGTCAAAACTGACTCCCTGACAAATAAGACAATAGGTGTGGTTTGGGGTTTTGAATCTTGACAGCAGCGAATCACCAGGTGCTGCTGGAAGGATTTTTCCAACCATCATCCTTTAGCTGAGTAGCTGAGCACAAACCAGGTGTACTACCCAGCCTCCTCAACAATGATAATAGCCAGCTGACATGTTGGAATACCTGTTCTTCCAAGCACTATTTCATATGCCCCCAGGTGGTCTCCAGAGGAAGTCCAAGAGAACAAGATTCTGTCAAGACACGAGAGAGGTGCTAGAAGAGAGCTTGGGGACGGAGGTGGGGTGGGGGTTGGGTGGGGAGAAGGTATCCCTTCCAGCCTCGCCTGCATGCACGTCAGTCTCTCCCAAGTCATGGCTCGTATCTGTGGGCTAGAGGCAGAGCCCAACATACGAAAGCCTCATTGCTCTCCGTAGCAGGAGTCCGGCAGTTTAATTCAGAGCAAACGGCTGTTCCCAACCTCAGCCTGCCCTCACTTACCCTGTGAGATTGGCCTTCTCACTTCTAAGAGGGAAAATGTTGCTTCTAACCCCAGACTCAAAGATTCCTTCTGGCTCATTCCAGATCAGCTGGGACCCCCAAAAAGCACTTTGTCACCACCTTCCACGACCTCCCAGTCATGAACCCTTGAGTGGCTCTCCAGAACCCCTTGTCCAGCGGCCCCATAGGTAGAGAAAGGGGGGCTAGCCGCCGAGTGTGAGCCAGGCCAGGCACATATGTTTGTCTAGATCCATAGTTTACAACTGTGGTGCTTGTTGCACACGGGCCTTTATCCCTGAGTGTATGTGTGGCAAGTGTATGTGTGCAGAAGACGTGTGTGCAAGACTGGCAGGAACATGCCAAGCTGTCTCTCCATGCCTGGCCCATTTAGGTGGGGGTCACTGCATAGAGTGGGGGCTCTGCCACCTCACCCTACTCAAAGAAACCAAAGCCTTAGACCCACAACCAAGACACCCAGTCAGGGCCACCTTAGGGCACCCCAGAAAGGCAGAGCTCAGATAACACCCCTTGTCCCAAAGCCTCTGCCCTCCCTGGCTCCCTCTCACACTCCCAGCTGGCCACCCATCCCCTTGCCCCACTTGGAAGCCTTCCTCCCACACGGGATGCTCTTCTGCATACCCAGAGGTCAGCCCCACAGCGGGACATATGCCACACAGGCGCACGGGCCACCTGCAGGCCCGCTCCACGCCCAACAACATTCCCCACGCAGGTCCCTGACACGCTCTTCCACCCACACTTACATCCTTAGGCACATGCTAGAAACGTCCACCTGCTGACATACCTGCCCAAGCACATGCCCTCCTACTGCCACATGCTCTCCCTCGCAGACAGGCACCCTGACACCCCAAGGGTCACTCGCAGACTCCAGCCAGGAGAGCTTGTTACTTACTCTGGCTGCGCAGGCGACGGAGAGCAGCGGGCGCAGCTGGAGCTCCCAAGGCCAGGAGCGCAGTGGCTCGGCCGGCCGGCCCCCACCCCACCCCACCCCACCCCACCCCGCCCCCTGTCCGCCCCGGCTCCAGCAGGAGGCTGCAAGGACCTTCCACCACAGCGCGCCTTCAGCCAAGCCGCTGTCCCGCGTCAGGCACCGCTGCCGCCGGGGTTCAGCTGGGCCTCGAGGGCTATTTTGGTGCCGGGCACTGGAACCCTCGCGCCTCTGTGGGGCGCCCAGGAATGGGGACGCGGTCAGGCCTAATTAGAGGCCTGGCTCACCCCGGAGCCGTCCCGGCGGGAAGGGGGGCACTTGTGCCCCCGCACGCCAGCATCTGGAGAGGGGCAGGGAAGGCGCGCGATCATTTCCCTTGGAGCTGGAAGGAAACAGGGAGGTATTCGGGCAGTTTCGCGTGTTCTAGAAGGGAGCCGCCCAACTGAGCAGCCCCCAGCCGCCTGGAATGCGACTCGGTTTACCCACACAGGTGCTTCCTTTTGAAACTCGGATCACCCACATAAACCCCCCCTCCCCATCAATCATGAACCTGCCAAAAACCGGGGCGGGAGTGGGGGGGGTGTAGGCAGAGTTCTTCTAACTTGAGGCACATCAGATTCCTGCTTCTAGACTTCTGTTAGATGGTTTGAGCGTAGAGAAAGCAGGCTGATTTCTTAGCCCAAAAATTCAGGAATGTTGCATTCTTGAGCTGGAAGGAAACAGCGAGGTCATTCCATCTAGCTCACCCCACCCTGCCATGAACCCTGTGGCCCTGGAAGGCCCCCACCTATTCTTAAAGGCCATCAAGGGAAGGAGAGAAAAAGGGAGCAGGGGCGGGGGTTGGGGGGAGTCAGGCAGCTCCCCTCCAGCTCTCTTGGTCCTTTAAGCAAAGCTATGAAATCATTCCCGTCACTGTGGTGTTAACCTAACACCCTCTCTGCAAAGGAAGCCAGTTTGCTCCTCCCTGTTCGTTGGGGAGGAATGCTGGTGCCATAGTGGTTACACATGGGGCTGTGAACCGCAAGGTCAGTAGTTCAAAACCACCAGCTGCTCCCCTGGAGAGCGATGAGGCTTTCTAGTATAAAGAGTTATGGTCTCAGAAACCCACAGCAGCAGTTCTTTGCCGTGCTTTGGGGTCACTAGCAGTCAGCAGCAACTCGGCAGTGAGTTTGAGGTACGGATATGTTGAAGAGTGTCCCGATGACGTGCCAAAAGAGAGTCAGTCAGCTGCTAAGAGAAAGGTTGGAGGTTCAAGGCCACCCAGAGGTTCATCAGAAGAAAGTCCTGGTGATCTCCTTCCCCCCAAAATCAGTCGTGGAGACCCTATGGAGCACAGGTGAACCCTGACCCCCATGAAGCTGCCGCAGTTGGAACGGATGCAGGGGCAACTGGTGAAGGGGTTTGGGGAGAAGAAGACCGGTTCCATCTCCATCTCACAATGAGCCTCACGACCTTCCACCCCCACTGTGCCTGCCTTCACCCTAATCACTCCTCTCTCCTTTGACCGACCCTCATTGAAACCCACAGTTGCTCACCAGCCCTGCACACAAGGTGTTAACTCAGAGCTTACCTGAGCTCTCTAGGGGTCTGGGCCTCTGAGTTGCTCCGATCTCTACCCTCAGACAAGTCACCGTGACCCCTACCTCCATCCGATCTGCTTGATTCTACTGTCTAGTCCTCTGGGAGGGGCTTCAATTCCTGGCTCAGTTAGAGCCACCTCAGGATCTGGGATGGGCTGGGGGCCTCCAATCTGCTATCTGGCTCGGCATTAGCCCCAGAATTGCAGCCTCTTCCAATAGGCAGTTGATGGAACTTCTCTCTGAATATGTCTTTCTGGAAGCTCAGGTGATGGAACACAATGTCAGAGCTTTGTTATCTGACTTTGCATTCTGCCTCTACTCTTGCCTGCCTGTGTGATTTGGGACAAGTCGCTTAACTCCCCTGAACCTCGGTTTTCACAGCTATGTAACGGGGATCATAACCTCGGCCTGATTCCTAAGCTCTTCAAAAGGATGGAAAGAGTTCAGAGAGGTAAAAGTACCAGAAAAGCTAACATGGTTGGGGGTTTTGTTATCGTTCTTGCTGCTGCTGTTATTTTAATCGACTAGCGGTAGAATGAGGCTTCGATCCTGGACAAGATAAATGTTAGCCTCTGAGAACTTTTTATTTCCAGGTCCAAACTCTGCACCTGGGTTTCAGGGCAAGGTAGAAACAGGCTTGGTTTGCTAGATGGTCCCTTGGGGCAACTTCATGAATGCCCCTCCCCCAACCCCACCCCACTCCACTCCCCAACACACAGATACATACGGCACAACCCATCTTCCTGGGTTCCTGTCGACCCCAAGGGCCCCAGCTACCTGGACCTTCGCTGGCCACCTCGCCATTTCCAAGGGGTCGCCTCATGACTCCAGTCAGCTTGGTCACAGCAAGTCTCCCTACAGAGGCCCCAGAGAAATGCTCCTCGCCTCCTGCCCATTCTTCTGGGCCATGGCCTTGGCCATCCCTCTGACTCAAAGCAGAACTGGGAGAGGCCTTCTCTCAGGTCTTCAGGACTGAGGCTGCCCGAGAGAGCTCCCAGTCAGAGCATCCACCCCCGCCACCCCCTCCTCACTGTCTGCCTGGCTTCCCAGGACAGTCCTGCTTAATACTTAATGGAAATTCCATCCCCGAGGCCGGCCCTCGCTGGCTCAGCGAGTTCCCATTTGGGCCAACAGCGAACTCCACCCAGAGAGAGGTGGTCTGCCTGACCTTATAAATATGCACAGGCACACATGTACACAAATCAGGGAGCCAGGCACGGGGATATTCACAAACCCAGAGAGCCTCACCAAGACACATCCAGGCAGTGTAAGCACTAGTATTTCCCATACTAAGTATCATGTATTTTAGGAGTCCCTGCTTGGCAAAAATGGTTAAGTACTAGACAACTAGAGAAAATGATGGCAATTCAAACCCAGCCAGAGTGGCCTTGGATGACAGATCCGGAGATAACTTTTGAAAGGTCACAACCTTGAAATCCCTACTGAGGGGGTCTATTCTGCACACAGCGGTTGGGGGGGGAGAAGAGGGGGGGTTTCCTGTGAGTCAGAAGAGACTTGCCAGCAACTAACAGTAACAACAAAGTGCTCCCAGGTCTCAGCTTCTCTAATCCACATAATGATATGTGACAATGACATTGTCCCCATTCAAAGTCACTTTACACAGGACATCTAGCAATCATAAAACCCACTGCCATCATATCCACTGGGACTCATAGCACCCTTATAGGACAGAGTAAAACTGCCCCCTGTAAGCTTCTGAGGCTGTAAATCTTTATGGGAATAGAAAGCTTCAACTTTCTCCCAAGGAGTGCCTAGTGAATTTGAACTACTGACCTCACCGCAGGCAGCCAAATGTGGTCCCACTAGACTACCAGGGCTCCTGTTTTAACAGTAACAGGGAATACCCCACACCGAGCCTATGCTCATTGTTGCATTTTGTCACCATAGTAACCTTATGTAGATACTTCTTCTATGGTTCACATTATTTAAAACAAAAACAAGTAAACATTAAACAAGATCACCTTAATGTTATCTAGTCCACGCCACATTGTAGCCACCCTCCAGGCCGGAGTAGAATTGTCCCTGTGGGTTTCTGAGACTATAACTCTATTTTTATTTTTTTCAACAGTTTCCTTGCATATAAATCACATATATAATTTAATAGTACAATCACCTCAAGAAGAGTGTACATTCATCACCACAATTAGTTTTAAAACATTTTCTTCATTCTTGAACTCATTATTAGCTCTCCTGCAACCTCCCCTACCATACCCCAAAAGAGCCAGGAATCCAGCTGAGACTGTAACTCTTTATGGGAAAATAAGAGAAAGGGAGAGGACACTCTAGTTCATAAACAAACCCCCCACCGAATGTCTGGGTCTAAATGATTTCTCCTTGAAAGCTCCTTGAAGAACGAGCTTACCTTCCTGTCAGCAGCTTGTCCTCTCTTTACCCAGCCTCATCGCCCAGCTTCAGCTTACCTCCTGGTGGGTCCTCAGTGCCTTGGGGATGGTACCCCTAGGCTGTGTAGATCAAGCTATTGCCCTGCCGCAGAGATAATGGAGAGGCGAGGGACTCAAGGAAGATAGGAAGAAGTGGGTCTGGCCACAGAGTAGCAGACAGACTGGTGCAGCCATCCACCACTGCCTCACTAGGACAACAGACCGCCAATCTCTGCTGTTCTTTCCTAAAGGAACATTGGCCCCCAGCTCCTGGCGGTAGTGTGGGGCAGATCTGTAATCTAATTAGAAAGGGGGGTGTAAAGGTCGCTGAGATCACTGGATGCAGAGAGCCTGCCATCTTGCTATCCACCAGAATTCCCTGACGGGGATGCAGGGCCCCAGACCCTCCTCAAAGATTCTGACTCAGTTGGTGGGTGATATGGTAGAGCAGATTGTACACAACTCTTCAGGGTACCCTATTACTTCACATTATTCCCTCGTCATTGGTTGTCACGGAAGTATTTCTTTTCACCTGAAAAAGTTCAACACATGCTGCAAATGAAAGCCTTTCATTTGGGGAGAAAAGGTAAGGGGAGAAGCACCAAGTGTTTAAATAGTTACTGCTGGCCCAAACCATTATGATGAAGGCCCACTGTGAGAAACAGGGGTCCAGTAATGAAATTCTAACCCAGATGATCCTTCCCTTGATTTATGGGCAGATGGGGATCCCCAAACAGGAAGGCTGTTGATGAAGGTCACTATAGTGGGCACCGTGTGCTGTCATGGCTGCTCAGTTCAGAATTTGAGGGGCAGGGGAGTTGAGGGGAGCCAGGGTTGGAAGAGCTCTGTTCCTTATTAACTATCTCTGGCCTCCACTCTACTACACCTGTTGTGCCTGATTGGGTAAGATGATTGATAGAGTGGGAGGAGAGGCCCTATCCCTTGTAGAATAGCATTAGATCTCATCAGCATTTAGAATTTGAATAGGTTGGATTAGAATTGCTAGTAACTGGATCACTTGACTACTGTGCCCTAGACTGAAGTCAGGCCCAGGAATTCTAGCAGCTAAGGCAATAGAGCAGCGGTTCTCAACCTGTGGGTCGAGACCCCTTTGGGGGTAGAATGACCCTTTCACAGGGGTCACCCGATTCATAACAGTTGTCAAATTACAGTGATGAAGTAGCAACAAAAATAATTTTATAGTTGGGGGGTCACCACATGAGGAACTGTATGAAAGGGCCGCAGCATTAGGAAGGTTGAGAACCACTGCAACAGAGGCTGCCCGACCTTTCCACACCTTAACTGTTCCGCAGTTCACAAAATCCAGGCAGATGCACTAGCACTGATTTCCAGTCATGGCAACCCTTTACACCACAGAAGGAAATACTGCCCATACCTGCACCGTCCTCCCAATTGTTATGTTCAAGCCTATTGCTGCAGCCACTGTGCTAATCTAGCTCATTGAGGCTCTTCTTGTTTCTCACTGACCCTCCACTTTACCAAGCATAATGTCGTTTTCCAGGGACTGGTCCTTGCTGATAACATGGCTGTGGTAGTTACATAATTTCATGTCCACTTGAAGTGTAGGGGTGGAGTCTAGCCTGTCAATCAGGTCACAACCTGATGGTGCCTCCTTGTGGGTTTGACGTCTTCATAAGGAGAGACCTGGGAGCTTCCCCACCTCTCTCTGCTTCACCTTCCTGCTTGTGAGTCATTTGGAGAGCTGCCAGAGACACCACCATTGGATCCACACAACTCTGCAACCACCGGCCTGTGGTCTCCCTGCATGCTGCCAGTGTCGGTGTGAGTCTGAAGAGGGATTTGTGGACTAGTATCGGACTTGTGGACTTGTTCTGGGCTGGGCTGGGATGTTTCCTTGATATATACTTACCTCTTGATATAGAGCTCTCTCTTACACATTTAGAAGTGTTCCTAGATTTGTTTCTCTAGTCAACCCAGCCTGACACAATGACCAAAGGCATGAAACTAATGCTCCCCATCCACACTTTGAAAGAGCATTCTGGTTGTACTTCTGCTAGGATCGAATTGTACATTCTCCTGCCAGCTCATGTTATATTTAATACTCTGTGCCAAAACTGTAATAAACCAGAGACATCATTATTCTCCTGTCTTCCTTATGCATATGAGACCACTAAAACACAAGGGCTTAAGTAACATGCATCCTAGTCCTCAAAGTGACATCTTTGCTCTTTTGTATCTTCAAGTGGTTCTTTACAGCCCATTTGCCCAAGACAGTATGTCGTGTGAGTTTTTGACCACTTATTTGCTGAGCGTTCATTGTGTGTCTGAGTAAAATAAAATCCTTGACACGTTCAATCTTTTCTCCAATTATCATGCTGAGCAAGTTAAACAGAGTTCAAAGAAGAACTTATGATTCCTACACCTTTGTCTTTCTCCTCCAATATGACCTGCCCTCAGGCAGAGGCAAAAGACTGAAGCAACCATACAAACATGCAATTCTCTGCTATGGTTTTCCAAGAGTGGTCCTCAACCAGGACCACCAGTAACAACAGGGATCTGCAGGAATTCCAAATGACTGGCCTCCCCCAAGAACTGCTGAATCAGAAACTCAGGGGCTGAGCCCAACAAGCCTTCCAGGGGATTGCAGTGCACACGCAAGTTTGAGGACCATGATCTAGGCAAAAGAAGCCATGGCTTCTGCCCCCTAACAATCAATCAAAGACTGTTCTGCACAGGAGAGGCAGCCATTCAGGGTGTAAGGCCAGCACAGATTTTGTGACTGCCATACTTCTTCCTGCCCATCCTGTCACCCCCACACCCCTAAGGATTCTTGAGAATGTGAGCACTAATCATGCTTCACACTGAGCTACGACAAAGTTCCTCTTTCCCAGGCTTAAGGAGCAACACCTTTCTGAAAACAGCAAGACAAGCTTGGGTGAGACACCAACAGGAAACTGCTCCCTCTGTCACTGTCTTCGAGTTCCTGGGTACTATCAACCGGTCAACATTCAAATACCAACCTATCAACCCAAAAGTTGGTAGTTCAAGCTCATCGAAATCACAGAGGTGCCACAGAAGAAAGGCTTGCCTTTCTGCATCCTAACAACCATTGCCTTGAAAAACCTCATGAAGCAGCTCTACTTCGCAACACACTGAGGTGCCATGAGTTGATGTGCACTTGACAGGAGTTGGGTTTGGGGTTTGGCCACTATCTCTAACTGAAAATAGAGATTTGGAGGACAGCCCCAGGCCCTTTGGAGTTCCGGAGGCTTTCCTTGGGTAAACCCAGGGACAGCTTCTGGTGCCCGGTCCTTCTGGAAGGAGATCTGCCAAAGGCCTGACTCTAGAAGCTACCATTTTGCCACAGCTTCTTGTGCTACCCAGGGTCAAGGAAAGAGATTAAGTGTGAGAGTGATTAAGGTAGTGAGTTCTTGGAGAG